ATATATATATATATATATATATATATATATATATCATGTCAAAGATTACGCAAACGGTGGGGTTCAGATCAGCTGCCATGCATGATACAGAAAATGCATTAAATTTCATTTTCTTACTCACCGGCAATTTATCAGCACAGTTTTGCTATGAATGAACAAAATTAACGTTTTGTTGGAGTAAAAATATTGCAGGAGTACGACTAAAATATGTTGTATCGCGTGCTGCAATGCTGAGAACTAATTTATAATCAAATGTTGAAACTTTCACAGTTTTCTCTACTACGCATAATACCGAGCAGAAATCAACTTTTAAATCACCTCTGCCTAACTCATGCAACCACTCTCTCCGAATGTGAAAGGAGTAAGACATAAAATTCATCCAAAAAAGAACTGAAAATTACCTCCATCGGTAGCAAATTCGGATTCGATATCAGCCTGTGCCTCAGATAACGGAAGATCGACCATCTCTACGGATGTGACTGTACTGAGAGCTTCATGCCTTATCCATTCTTTTGCCAACTTATTCGATGAGCCAACCAGATAAATTAGCCTGCAGTCTTCCAAAACAACGGCAAATTCAAACTCCTGTCCGCTTCCAATGAAAGAGATCATTTTGAAAGGTGCTAAGTCTTTTTCCAAAATCTGTGCCCTGAATAGAAGCTCCCCTTTAACAGCATCGTAGACAATCAGCTCATGCGCAGCAGTTGCGACAGCCAGAAAGTCGTGTCTATCGGATGTTGCCACTGCTTCAACCTGAAAGCGGTGCCACCGCTTTAAGGAGCATTTAGTAAAGTCCCATTTGATATTAGTGAATGAAGACATACTCAGAAGTGGTGGCTCTAATGAGGACATTTCACCAAAGATAATCACTAGCGTGAAAGGCCCTCCTCGACGATATCGTTATCCAAAAATTATTTCGAAACACGTGAGAGCAATTTTGTCGTCCTGCCCCCTAGGCCCGAATTTTGACAATAATCAATGAACTGTCGATGAGGAGGGGAATTTTACTGAATTTAGACCATCCATACAAGCTGAACAACGTTCGTCGGTCGCCAGCATTATGAGTATACAAAATAAAAAGAGGCGGTAAACAGTTCCATAAAAAGTTACCTTTTCCAGTTCAAGCATCAGTGTTGGCGGTTCCGATAGTGTCAAACGATAAACGTATGTATTTGTGTGAGAGTTCACCAGCAGCAGATCTCTGGTGTTCAGCTTCATGATGCTATGGACGGCGGGAAGTGCAGTGTGATGCACGGTCACTGGATCCGACGATAAATCAGCTACATGAAAGCCCGTTTCGTCAAAACACGACAACAGCGTATCGGACAACGTACATCTAAAACCACTACAATAACATACGTCGCATCTGACAGGTAGAAAATTACACATGAACAGCGAATGGTACTTATTGTTTTCAAGGCCATGATACCTGTAGTAATGGGACTGCACGCGTACATTATTTGAATTTTATAAGTTTTTTGAATTTACAAGAACTGCGAAGCTGCGTAGCGTATTGTCGAGACTTTCTTTCCCCCATTGCTTGCGCATTCGTTTGAATGTATATTAAACCGAGGGCTGCAGAGGCTAAAATTCGATGGCTGTAACA